TACCTCTGACCTTTGTACGGGCAGGAAAATCAAACTGCAACTATTTTAAGAAAATGAACGCATTGCTAATCTGTGTCTCTCGTCACCCAGATCGTGAGATGATATTCAGAGCAGTGTCCATGGTGAAAAAGGTAAAACAAGCAGAATCAAGAGGCTCCGGGAAGGTTGTGACCTTGGAAGTGAACACAATCACCTCCCCACCTGTAAGAGAGTGAAGTACATTTGGAAGACACTAGAAAAAACAAGAACCCTGGTTCTCTGCTTGGTGATCTGAAGCAAACATTGCCCTCACGTTCCAGCATCTTCCTAAAGCAGCACACCTGACTGCCAGGCCTGGAGACTGAGCGCATGAACGTGCCTTTTCTCTAAGCTCAGAGGAGTTGTGCAGGGTGGCTGGGAGCCCCTGCACCTCTTCAACCCCAAAAGCACCAACCATCATGGCCTTGTCGTATGTAGCTCTTTTAATTACCAGAGTTTCTATGAATAACAGTGCTTTTACTTTAAGCATAAAATGCCTGAAACAGCTCATCAGTTTGTAATTTCTTAACATTGCGGCCTCGGGCAAATTATGCATCTCTCTGAATATCATTTTCCCCATCTGAAAATTAGATAAAATAAGATCTGCCACCGCCCCAGAGTTAGTATGGAGTGTAACAGCACTATTTTATGTGAAAGTGACAAGTACATAATGCAGGTTCTATATATGTTTCGAGTAGACCCCTATCACTGATGAATGCAAGAATCTACCTTCAATGAAAACTCATGGAATGCCACCACAGCCTTGGGTCACTCCTTCCATAAACCAGAGGTGTCTTATTATGCTGTCGATGAAGACTTAGTAGAGTTATCTGTACTCTTAGAAATAGGGATCCTTGCTTTCCTGAAAAATCCTGACCTACACTAACCAGCTCTGGGTTTGTAGAGATTCTGATGTAGTCCAGAGCAAGCTGGACTGTGGGAGGCTGACCACCGCTGGTTTGTCTCGTAGAGAGAGGTGATCTCCTACAGGGTGGTCTGGTCTCTTTAAGGAAGAAAAAAAGTTACACGGACCCAAAAAAAAAAAAAAAACCCAGCAATACAAACCAACCAAAAATGCCAGGAATGCAAGCTCTGCCAACCAAATAAATAAATAAAATGTGAGATACTTTATAACTGGACATGATGCATTTCTCAACTCTGCATAATTGAAGCACTCTACTTTTCCATCAACTATGCAACTATCCCCCTGGCTCTTAGTCTTCTTGGTAGCCTTTTTTGCTCTGAAGTAGCACTGACAACCTGATCCAAAGTAACTAACTGACCCCTGTGCCTTTAGCTCTGACTGCTGGGACACCTCAAGATACTCTAACACTCGGAAAGTTATCCATCTCAGTGTTCGCTCTCTGGAGCACAGAATGGAGCTTCATTCACATGAGATCTCCACTAAGCAGGTGAAAAAGTCATCTTCAACTTAATCTTCTCATAAGTAAAGAGGAGCATAATACAGTGGCAGCCCCTATTAAACATTACAAGGGCCCCTGAAAATTCCATTTTTGTTGACTTGTTTTCCAGTTAACTATTAAATAGAATGTATTATGGGTCAAGTACAGTTTAAAGATTTTTCACACATTAATAGATTTATTCTCCTATCGACTTATGAGGTTGAACGATTATTATACTACAGTTATTTTATAGGTGCGAGAGTTGAGCACAGAGACATTAAGTAATTTGTCCAAAATTACGCAGTTAGCAAGTGGCAGGGCTGGGATTCA